CACTGGTCTCCCCTGGACACCCCTGACTGTGGAAACTGCTGGAGCCACTGTCCTCCCCTGGACACCCCTGACTGTGGGCACTGCTGGTGTCACTGCAGTATCTGACTGTACCTCATTTTCAGCTTTTGAAACAACGTGGCGTGCCTGCATACTGTTGAAAATGACCATCGTGCATTGTGAGAGCGCTGGCACTCCAGCCAGCCCCTTCGCGATCTGCGAGGGTGTGTCCAGAGGTGTGTGCGGGTCTGTTAGCCTGTCTTCTCCATTCCTCAAGCAGGGGGCTGTTAGTTCCATCCTGCAGCGCGGTGCTCTAATCACCTGTATCTGTCACGCCTCGAGTCCGCTTCACCTGGCTCTCTGACACTGGCCTCCACAGAATGCTTAAGGAAATAAAACTGGACAGAAATTGGCCTTTTCTTACTGTGTGATTTGAGAATTAGAAATTAGAACATGACTTTTAAACTTTTGTCTAATCTAAAATCAAGGTTAGACAAAAGGCAGTGGAGCAGGGCAGCCATTATTTTGACTTGCATTTGTACAGCGCAGTTAACACTCCCGGTCATTAATGATGTGTCCTGGCTAAATTCCAGTCCTGACTGCACGTTCTGGACTCCCCATAGTTCCCCCCAATTCAGTTCTGGACTGCTGGATTGAGCGAGAAGTTGCGTTGTGCTGAGTGCAAACAGTACCTCTCTCATTCTAACAGCTCAGCTCACTGAGTGTCTGTGTTTCAGCCAGATCAGGTGAAGTACATTTTCCCTCCTGCCCCTGGTCAGCTGTGCAGTGGGCCCCCACCTGTATGTAAACCACTTCAAGATAAATTAAACTTGAACTTAAACTCCATCTATTTTCGAACCACTTCTTTCAGTTCGGGGTCGCAGGGGAGCCGGAGCCTATCCCAGCAATCCCAGCAAGCAACAGACTCACTGCAGGATACACCAGGAATGGGACATCAGTCCATCATAGGGCATACAGACACACACACAGTGCTAATTTTCCCAGAAGCCCATTAGCCTACCAGCTTTGGATTGTGGGAGGAAACTGGAGCACCCAGCAGAAACCCACACGAACACGATGAGAACATACAAACTCCACACAGACAGCGCCCCAGGAGGAGGCAGCAACGCTAACCACTGGCCTGCTCCACCATGCCGTCATCCCTCAACTGAGCTCAACTGAGACTGCTCAGAACTGGAAACCAGCAGACCCTGTGACTCTCCTTGTCTTGGACCTGCAACACACTACACCCTGAGCAGCGCACTCGAACTCTAAAGCTACTCCTCCCCCGCAGGCTGGAGTCCATTCCCTGCCCCAGAACCAATCAAAACATCAGCCTGTCTGCCCATGGAAAACCACAAACCCAGAACGTTTCTTTTCTTGTTCACCAGGGGCTCCTGAAACGTTGGCAGTACACGAGTTCCTCATGAATAATTTTAGGTACACAAACTATAAAAGATACTGCTGTTTCTGTACTGAAGTAGTTCAATTCGCCAAGCAAGAGCCTTCCACCTGAGGCACGATGAGACTGAACTCAGGGTGCTGAGATGCTGATTGCACACACACTGTATACTGGAAATATATTGGCCATTTAGAACTGAGAACATAGATATGGAATATGGAATAGATATTGCACGAGATCTTCAGATCAATTAGCTACTATCAGACTAGCTAGATGGCATGAAGGATCTCCAGTCCTTTCTTATGTTCTTATGTGCAGTGATCTTCCCACCAGTTGGGTCAGTACCTGGGTACTGCAGGTCTTAGTCTCCAATAGGGATAAAGCCCCAGACTGTTATTTAGGTTAATTAAGTGAATAACAGATTCAGTTAACCCATTAGGTGCTCTGTTATAATGGCAAGAGGAGGAGGAGTTGTCGTGCAAATCATGGGAGCTTCATAGTTTCAGACATTATACACTGGACTGGCTAAGATGGAGACTGTTCCATGAATGTGAGGTGTCCTATTTATGTTGCGTAATGACCAGCTACAGCTCAGGCCTGTTCCTCAGGTGTGCTGTGGGAAAGTGGGACGATATACAGTACGTGATCTCACAGGAGCTGTGATTATTTGTGCACGCGATGTCTCTGGTACATTGCTGAAGGCAACATCAGACCTGGCTAATGTGCCAAATGTAGACTCTCCTCCAAGGTTTTCAGGAAAAAGATGGGGGTGAAAACCCATCAACAGTAAGTAAGCACATATCCAGCTACTGAACGCATACTCAACATCTCAAGAAAGTTGAGTAGTGACACTGTGTGAATGTCACAGCAGCATGCAGGTGATGGGCATGGATTAGGCTGTGGTTAGGCATGTTCTGTTATACATGGTGGGCATTACATAGCAATGTGAGCCCTGCATGTCACCTGCCTTTTAAAACTCTCACCTGCGAGTATCACAGCAGTGTTCTAAGCATTGGAATGTATGTTTCTGGATGATCCCAGTATGTGGTGTTTAATTTATACGACACCGTTAAATGTGTTCCTTCGTTCGCTTTGGTTGTTTTAATTGCAGTGAAAAGGTACACATGCCTTAGTCTGAGATTATAGCATCCCAACCCCAACCCAGTGAATCCCCAGCTCGGCTCCCTGCTTAATTCATGAATTCCTTCATTGAACTATCAAGTTTGTGGTTTAACTGAAACCCCTGCAAGTTTTCTTTGTGCACAACAGCTAGAGATGTATAGTGACAGATGAAGCTCAGGATTATAATAATAATAATTACTTACACTTATATAGCGCTTTTCTGGACACTCCACTCAAAGCGCTTTACAGGTAATGGGGACTCCCCTCCACCACCACCAGTGTGATGCGATGGCAGCCATAGTGCGCCAGAACGCTCACCACACACCAGCTATCAGTGGGGAGGAGAGCAGAGAAATGTAGCCAATTCATAGAGAGGTTATTAGGAGGCCATGATTGGTAAGGGCCAATGGGAAACTTGGCCAGGACGCCAGGGTTACACCCCTACTCTTTTCCCCTAATCCCTACCCTGGGATTTTTAATGACCACAGAGAGTCAGGACCTCAGTTTTACATCTCACCCATAGGACGGCGCCTGTTTACAGTATAGTGTCCCCGTCACTATACTGGGGCATCAGGACCCACATAGACTGCAGGGTGAGCACCCCCTGCTGGCCCCACTAACACCTCTTCCAGCAGCAACCTTAGTTTCTCCCAGGAGGTCTCCATCCAGGTACTGACCAGGCTCACACCTGCTTAGCTTCAGTGGGCTGCCAGTTGTGAGTTGCAGGGTGATATGGCTGCTAGATATAAAGGCAACCTGCCATGGGATTAGGGACTGAAAGCACTCACAGAGCTCCAGTGCATCTTATTACAAGGTCCATTATGGATGAAATGAAGTAACGAGCTGAGCTGGAGTGAAAAGTGGTCCCCAGAACCCCCGACCTCACTCTGAGCTTGTGAAAAGGTCGAGAAATGCTGTCATCAGTAGAACTCGGAGGTGTGAGGTAGCAGCTGCTCCAGTCAGTTTTATTGGGGTGCCGGGGGAGCGAAGTTCTGAAAGTCACAGGGCCAGATCTTGCCCCCTGTGTCCCTCTGTGTGGGTGAGAGTTCAGGGATGGTGGGTGGTTGTGGGGGGCAGGGGGGCATTGACATTTTGGGCGGGCGAGGTGCCGAGGAGGGTGAAGGAAAGGGTTAAGTTTTTTTTCCATTATTTTGGAGGTTGTCGAGCCCCCTCCCACTAAGCCCCTCACCCCCGCCCCCTGATGTGGAGGGGGGCGATCACGTCGGTTTTCCCCCGGGGCCGTTATAAATCCCCCTCTGGCCCTGCTCCGCTCTGACAGAGAGGCTGACGGTCTGCAGGGCTCAGCAATTGTCCACTTGCCGGGTTATTTTCTAGCAACAACTTAGACACACTTAGATGCACAGATCCTGGTGACACAACACGTCCTCTGTGTCTCTATGACAAGACCTGGACGCAGCTGACAGACACACATCAGTCTATCTGTCCAGTCCCGCTCCTCGGCACGGGCAGCTGCTCGAACTGGCCCCATCGTCCGCTAAGGCTCAGATCCCGACAGCATTCCCGTGCTTTTTCAGAACTCATTTTTTCCGGTGTTTTTCCCAAACACGCCAAGCGGAAAAGAAAGCTCTCCGACAGCCAAAGCAAGCCGGATTTGAGGACGAAGCTCGAGCCGTGAGAAAATCCTCTTTCGGGGTCTGACTGTTCCCTAGTTTTTGCCTACCGAGGGATCCCCGTCCCCCCTCCTGCCAAGCACGCGCGCCCACAGATTGGCTCCATCCTCTTTCCTGCCCTGAATATCCTCCCCGCGGCTGTGCCTGCGTGCTGACCTCCGGCCGACCATGTGGGAGTTCCGGTCCATGTTGTTCTGGCGGGCGGTGTTCGCCGAGTTCTTCGGCACCATGTTCTTCGTGTTCTTCGGGCTGGGCGCCGCCCTGCGCTGGACCTCCGGCCCCTACAACGTGCTGCACATCGCCTTCTGCTTCGGGCTGGCGGCCGCCACGCTCATCCAGTCCATCGGCCACATCAGCGGCGGCCACATCAACCCGGCCGTCACCTTCGCCTACCTGATCGGCTCCCAGATGTCCCTGTTCCGCGCCGTCTTCTACATCGCCGCGCAGCTGCTGGGTGCCGTGTCTGGAGCCGCCGTGCTCTATGGGGTCACGCCCACCAACGTGCGGGGAAACCTGGCGCTCAACACGGTAAGTCCTTTGGCGTCCTACAGCAGGGTAATACCCGGCGTCCTACCTGGCTGTGATGTGGTGTTGCGGGCTCCGTGTCATTTTCTTGCTATTAGATCTAGATCTCAAATTTGTTCCTGCTCTCACCCCTGCGATGCCTTTCCAGCCAATAATCCATCATCTGGCTGCTTGGGCAAAAATGCTACATATGTCAGTAATCAGTAATTATGAGAGTACTCTGTGGCAGTGGGGGCAATTGTGCAGTGACAGTAGAGCTGTCCTGCTCTAATGTGTGGTAAGGGGTCTTGGTTATTGGTCGTAGATGTGTTCTTATTTCCCATGAGAATAAACTTTTATTAAGAGGGATACTAAGTCTTTTTTTAATACCAGGGATTATCATGCCATGAGCAACAGTGGAATAGGGGTGGGTAATGTTCTCCATTGTCATCGTATATGAGTAATACAGTACATACACATCGCTTCACGGGTCTAATGTCTAGAATATGCAACACCAAAAACATCCTCGGTTCTTGGACACATTTCCGCCCGTTCTTCAAACATTTGGCACGCGCACGCCGCACCGCTCTCTCCGAAACGCCACGAGGACTGCGGGCGGTTTTGTGCGATCCCCCGCCCCTGGGCCTTTCGCGGGAAGAAAGGACGCCAGCTGGAATCTATTCAGATGAACAAATACGGAGCACCGTTCCCTGCTGACGGAGACAAACTGGATCAGCCACAGGCGTCGGCACCCTCCGCCTTCTAGGGCAGTATTTTAGAGTGCAGTCGTGACCGCCCACCAACAGGGTTTGGGGTGACTTGGCCGGTTGCCTGGGCTAACGGATAGTGTCTTCCCATGGGAGAATGTGGCGGGAGTTTAACTGCCGGTTACGTGAACATCTCGAGGAGGAGAGTGTACAGAAAGAGACCACCCCCGGGTCTCCAGCAGCCTCCTCTTTGACTGTTGCACATCCAGATAATGGCTCAGCCCAGGGCACACCGCTGCTCAGTTTATCGAATCCATCTGTCACCCAGTCAGCATGAGAGCGCAGGATCTGCCTGGATCACAGCCCCCACAGTGGGGTGCGACTCGGGCAGTGAATCCAAAGGGAAAACTAACTGTACCTCTGAACGTGTTGCTCCAGCTCAGCCACAGGCTCCTGGGACTGCTCTAGTCCCCGAGACCCCCCACACACACACACCTGCTCGTCTTCATGACTGCTGAGCTCTTGACTGAAATGTCGTTGATTTTAAAGTGGATCACTTGTCTGGAACTTTTGTAAGTTTTCGTTCTACTCAAATGTTGGAGATTTTAGGTCACCAAAAAACAAAGGCACAAAGGAAACGTCCTGGTTGTGCTCAGTCTCTCAGACAACTGATTCTTCTGATTCTGAGTCTACAAACCCCCTTTCTTCTCCTGATTAGAAAATTCAGGGATGGCCAAGACGGGTCTAGTGGCAGATATCAGTATTCGTGCACTAACACTGTTAGTAACACTGTGAAACTGTCAGTCCATCTGTTTTCTAACCACTTCATCCAGTACAGGGCTTCAGGGGAGCTGGAGCCTATCCCAGCAAGCAGCGTTCGCAAGGCAGGGTCCACCCTGGACAGGACACCACCCCTTCACAGGACACACACAGACACAAACACACACACTCACACCCGCACCATATTTCCCAGAAGCCAGTTTACCTGCCAGCATATCTTCAGACTCCTCCAGAGCCCTGGAGGAAACTCACACGAACACGGGAAGAACATGCAAACTCCACACAGACAGCAGCCCAGGAACGGCACCCAGGGTCCCGGGGCTGCGAGGCAGCAATGCTGTCCACTGCGCCACCATGCCGCCCACTTGAGAAACATCTGACAATTCATTCTTGGCTCTGCTCCCAGCTTTATTAATCAAGTGTCATCGGCAACTGGTCAATAGGCAAGGGAATTCAAAAAGCGAGACACAGTTTTGACACTTTTTAATGAATATTTAATGTTCTACAACCATAATGATTTTGTGTCTGTGAAGACGTGCTCTCCAAGGAGGAGAGAGTAGCCCATCGCGGTCTCCCTCTCGTCCTCGTTAGCGGGTACAGACAGATCAGGTGACGAGGGCTTCAGCCCTTCAGCATTTAATTTCAGGAAAGGGTGGCCAGAGAGTGGGAGGGAGTGTGTGGTATGAAATTTATATTATTGGCTATTTCTGTGTTGGACGCCTCCATGGATCATTAAGGCGTGTTTATTTCCTAATTCAGTTATTGATGAATTGATTAATTGAATTCAGGAACTGCCGAATCTGAAATGCTTTTGACCCCAAGAACTGCTTCGCCAGCAGTAGGCACAGCTCCTGCAGGGCTTGTCTGTCCTCCGATTTTTAGGAATAGGCCATTTATTATTATTTTTTTAAAAGTAATTAAGTTTATATATCCATGTAATGTATCACTAGTTGTATATGGACGACTCAGCTTTAAGGCAGCAGCTCCTGGGAGAGGATTCACGAGGACACGCCCGCCTGACACGCCCCCACCGAGCCGTCACCTCATGGCGCAATGAGCGCTCCGCAGCGCCTGATTGGTGGAGGGCCAGGTCTCTTGCCGGCATCACCTGCAAGGCTACGGTGCCTTCGTAGGGCCGAGGCAGAAGATCCATGCTTTAAAAAACAAAGGTGCAACAACTGCACAGGTAGTGATGCCCTTACAAGCATGGTGTTTAGCACAGTAGCAGCCGATGGCCCTGTTAGCAGGGACCTGATCCGTACGAGACCTGTCTAAGCGGAAATCCCAGATGGGGGGAAACTGAGTTAAGCGACGAAGCTTCTCAGGGACGATCCCGCCTCTCCCAACTCTCTGTGTTCCCACAGCTCCACCCCGGCGTGAGTCTGGGCATGGCCACCACAGTGGAGATCTTCCTCACCGTGCAGCTGGTCGTGTGCGTCTTCGCCGTGACGGACGATCGCCGCAACGGCCGCCTGGGGTCCGCCGCCCTCGCCATCGGCTTCTCCGTCACCCTGGGGCACCTGCTGGGGGTGAGGAGGGGGGTCTCTGCGGGGCTCACACACTGGGCTTGGACAACCTGCCCCGGAGCAAATTGCCCCTGCTGATTCCGATTGGGAAAAGAAGGATGGAATTGGGAATGGAGGGTGCAACGTTACCCCTTCTCCATTCCTCGGATATCACTACTACCCCCGGGAATCAGGGTCCA